TATGTTAAATTATATGACAGTGTGAAGGTTTGGTACAAGGACTATGACTATAATTTAAAAACAAGGACTATGACATTCAGAAGCAGAGCGCTCTGGCCAGCCTACTGATGTTGATATGTCTCCCTGCCGAGAACTTGTGGAAGAAGATCGGTATGCAACCATTCGTGTGCTTGCTAAAGAGTTAGCTGTTAGTGACAGTTGTGCTGTGCATTCCATTAACTTGACATACAAGTTATATCGCTGGGTGCCATATAAGCTGACTTGAGCAGATACGAACAGACTTGTTCAGGACTGCACTAATCTGCTCAAATATCAAAGGAAGGACAAAATTCTGGACCAGATCGTCACTTGTGATGAGAAGTAGATTTACTTTTAAAGCACAGGCTGAAAAAGGAGTTGGTCTGCGACCGGTGAGCCCGCCAGCAGCGTTGCAAAGTGCAATTTGACTAACATAATGATTAAAGTTTGTATCTGGTGGGAACAGATACAAACCATAATCGTTACATTATTATCCACAAAGAGTATCTGAAATAAGGTAACCCTCAATAGTAAGCTGGTAACAGTAGATGCTAGTCCGTGTTGAAGCTGCTTTCAAGGAAAAACTTTCGAACTGAGTACATGCACAAAAAGGTAATGTTCCATCAAGATAATACAAGACCACATGTGTCTGCATTCACCGGCTGGACTGTATACGGATTCCAATAAGATTTTTTTTTTTGCCACCCACCATATAGCTCCTACGGACTTCTACCTTTTTTTCACACCTGCAGCTACATCTTGCTGGTGCTATCTTCCATTCTGCAATGGACGCCCGAAATGATGTTGATACCTGAAGAATTACATATGCACTAAAAATTATTAATGAATAAGTATTTCTTCCCCTCCAAGGGTTGGAAGTAAAATGTCAGCAAGAGAAATTGTCTGATGTGCACGTTATCCAGTGAAGATAACAAAACAGCAGCAACACTGGAATTGTTCAGTAACAAAAATTAACTACTGCAAAAATGCTGCACTGTAATTACAGGGTGTAGCAAAAAGAACATCCAGTTCTGTGAAGGTAATAAAATCCAAACCCAATAAGATATTGGAATTTTTATATTAATTTTTAAAAGTACACAAAATAATGTCGTAATTTTAATTGATTTAAAAAAAATAAGTGATGGCCTCCATTTTTTATATACTGACTGAGGCTTTGTACAAGACAGTAAGAAGTCTGAAATTCAGATGTCTAATATCTGGAATGAAGTTAGGACCTCCGGACCCCCGACAACCTTTGATATTGTGTCATAATAAACATGTGAAGAATCTAGATTCTTAATTTTCCTTCAACATCAAATAAAATGCTTCCATACTGAATAAACTACCATTTATTAGCATAAATCTGCATGATCAATAACTTGGCTCTCGCCTCTTTGCATCTCGAACCAAAATATTCTACATGGAAACACTGCTGATTTTATATCAACTGAATAATTTATTTTTCTGCCACCGACTGGTCCCATCAGCATTTATCAGTGTTTGCTTTCATCACAGCATGACTATCAATACAGGCAGCTAGAGAATTGACTCCCGCAGTGATGTTTAAATATTTAAAAAAAAATATTAGTTATTGAATACCAAAGAAGTATGGTAACCTTTTATGTTGACATTACTCTTGGCAATATTTACAGAGCTAACTGGACTGCAAAGTGTTGTGAGGAGAAATTTAACAGAAATTTCTTTCCATATGCAAAAATTAGATTACTGATATCCAAAGGCGAAAAGATTACACTGAATGCTGTCTGAATTGAGAATAACTGACTTATTTTTCAGATAAGCCCTGGACTAGCACCAGAGCTGGCGCAGTAGAATTTAAGAATGACAAAATGTTTAGAATTTAGAGAACCACTGAGCAACAAAATTAAGCGATGGCAAAATCTTTAGAATTTACAGAAGGTACTGAGATGCAAAATTTAAGCACAGAAAATGTTTTAGAATTTAGTGAGGCATTTTGCAGCAGAATTCAGGACCCATCGAAACTGCACCTAGCCACAAAGTGTTTAGTGCCTGCCCTGGATAAGCCTTCATTATATGCAGAAATTTATTTATTCAGGGTTAGGTAAGCCTTAACCTTTCAGCATGTGCACATGCACAAAATTTATGACAAATTCAGCTTTTAACGCACATTTTTCGCATATCGAAGCTGACATCTGAAGGTCATTTCTATTCCTCCTTTCTACCCTTCCCCACATGATGGAATGTGCCAAAAGGAAGGCATGACTTTTTTTTTTTTTTTTTTTTTGATTTTTTAACTGGGCTTTTTGTGCTATGTGTCAGCTTTTTCATAAAAGTTACGACACACACGTGGTCGTGTTTTAAAAGTCGGAAATTTTTTTTTTTCTAAAATATTTTGTAATTTTGTGTTATTATTTGCCGTGTATTATTTTAATTTGAATACATTTGGCTCTGTAAATTTTATATCGGTTTTCATGCCAAAAAAATATGTGCCACCAGCTGATCTTACTCGGATTCTTCAAGAATTATCTGATGAAGAAAAGGAAGACAAGGAAACCTTTGGATGGGAGAACAATAGCGATTTCCATTCCTTATTTTCTTTTATTTCTATCTTTTAGAAATAAATAAAAACATTAAAGTTAGTTTAAAGTGTGTTTTTGTAACCAGTAAGAAGTAAATTTTCTTGCAGAAAAGTAAGTAATGCTAAACTTACTTTTTTCCCCTACCAAGATGTTTTCCTTTTTTATTGTCTATACTTGTATTTGATGAATATTAAAATTAGCTTCGATTTTAAAATATAATTAATAAATTACAAATTTAAAATTTTCTATAATGAAATACATAATTGCATTTCCCTCTCACTAACACAAGAACTTAAAAATAATTTACTTATATTTGAATGCAATATCATTTGATTTTGCAATAATAAGATTAATATTTTATTATCAATATTCACTCGTTTCTGCTGTTTTTCGTGGCAAAAATGGTAAAATAACGGATATCGAAATAAATACGACGTGCGCATGCTCATATAAAATTGCCAAGCACACATGCTGGAAGGTTAAGCATGTGCAGGAAATCTGTTTAATCTGTGAATCTGTCGCATACTGGTTTGTCGGTATGCGACAGCAGCAAGATAAAATTTAGTGGAGCAACAAGTCTAATCACCAATCTGGGTGTTACATTACCAATAGCATATAATAGACGTCTGCTAAACTTTATGGTGATAGCTACGAATTTGAAGGTTTTCAAATATCACAAGCAAAATGCGAAATTTTCTAATTAATGGAATATGTGAAGCAGTGATAATAAATGATAATATAACAAAAGGTTTTAACTGTGGTGATAAAGTCCCAATCATCAATCAACTAATGATCAAAGGTTCTTGAAAACAAGAAAAAAATTGATAGACAATTTAGTGGGAAATCTTGACACAGCAATTAAAAGACTTGAACAGTGGAACTTTGAAACTGAACAAGAAATTATGTCTATCTACAAAATTTAATAGAAAATATTAGCACAGAAACGAAGCAATTAAACAACTTATATTGAAGGATATGTTTAATAAAGCAAGCTAATAAATATTCAGCTTTTTCTGTTAATTTTTATTCCCTTAAGGTCATAAATTCTTAATTATTTCATATTTTTAATTTTAAAATTTCTATATATCTTCTTATGAGATTTACGATGATTTAATATTTGGAAAAAATCCCAAATCTGGATCTCAGACTTCGTACTATAGTTGTCCAAAATCTGTACTTCGGATGTAATGGTAGCAACTTTCTGTTGAATTGTCTCCTTCAGAGCTTTTAAAGTTGGACACTTAATGGTAAATATTTTTTTGTCGGAAACAGGATCCCATCGATCAAGTGCAAAGTGATTGCAAAAGGCACACTGCACTGCTAATGGGAAATTGCTATTGTGAATAAATTGCTGTACAACAAAAGCACAATGTTCTCGTGACCAAGTAACAGACTACTCTGAAATAGCATATAATTTGCAAGTCAATGACATTCTCTCTACCCTCTCCCAAACCATAGCTATGATTATTCCAATAGAGAGTTTTTTATATCACACCCTGCACACTTCTTGAGCTCAAAAAACTGAAGTTAAGATTTTGATAAGAAAGTATGTGGCTAAAACTCACATGATTGATATTGCAATGTACTAGATTAACACGGTACAGAATTGACACCAGCATAAAACTGACACAGGTTAGTGGGAAATGATTTATATTGACCAAAAAATTTGATAATTATGTAATAATAAATAAGGGGATTAAGGAACATTTATCATGTTCACAGAGTTGTCACAGTTATACAAGTGACAATGCAAGGAATCAAACCATGCATAAACTTGACATGGCATAGGATTGATGTTAGAATAAATGAACATTGTATAATATAGCTAAAGATTATAATTAGAATTAACACATAATCAAAAGGGAAACAATATGATTTTAAATTATAATTTTTTAGGTGCCTGCATAGGATGAACATTGGCACTGAGCTGGAACAAGTTTTTTAATTGCCTCATCGATCTTGTGCCAACACAAGCCTCTCAGTTCTATGCAGTGTCGATCCTGTGCTGCATTCCCGAGTACACAAAGGCTCTATATCACGAATTAGCAATCTCGACAAGAATGACGGTTTGGAGTTATAAAGAAAACATACACAAGAAGAAACAGATCATGGGAAAATTCCCAAATTAACTATATAAATAAGACCTGTATAAGTAGTTTTATTTGTAAATTAACAACCAATCTGGCCACTGTAAAGTTTAAAATAAATAAATAAAACTTCTACTAGAGGCACCTTCTAGGAACAAATATAACTCACAATTATATTATACATATATATAAAAACAATTACAGATAATATGTCTCGGAAAAAATGTTTGAATGATTTCATAAAGAACAACTCTACTCGCGATTAAAAAAAAAAAAAAGAATACAAAGACAATGTTTAAACAAACAGCATTAAAAGTATTTCACAAAATTTACTTACCTTCCAAAATAAGCACCGGCAATGACGACACAAAAATAAGCTCTCAGCATATTCCTCCTTCAAACCATATTTTCTGTTAAATTACAAAAATTCTTAAGTATTTAAAATTAATTCAGTAATAAACTGATTTACAAGTGTTTTATAAACACATATTTGGATTAAATATTTCTACGGAATACTTTGTAATTCTGAACTTTATTTGGATTAATAACGAACAAAAACCTCAAATTAATGAATTTAGACAGAACTATGTAGTTATTTTCCTTTGTGGATATGTTTATAATTTCACCCTCCATCTAATTAAGGGAAAATGTAAGGAAAATGTTTAAAAATCTGAATTTAAAAATTATATGATATTTATTCACAAGCAACAGACGAACACAGTTAATTTGATACCCAAAATTTGTTGAGCATGAGATTTTTAGAAACAGTATCCTTGGTTGCATTTGAACAACAGACATATTTCTAACTGAGAAATAAAAAAAATACAAATACTACAAAATAATAGGCCAACAGAACATATACAAATACAATAATACCCACAAAGAATAGGTGCATAAAATTACAGCAGACTAGTACAAACAAAGTAAATAAAAATGAATCCAAAATTAATAAACAATAAATTAAAATACACAATTATATAAAAATTACAAAACCACACTAGTTCAAATTTTAAAGTAAACTTTTCATCTTAACATATCTTAAAAAATAAATTTAAAAACTTACCTGCGAAGCTGGTGAAAGACAACCTGCCAATCTATTTTTGTGTTCACAGGCTTAAGCTTTTCATTTTCTAAGAAAAGCCTTATTTGTTCCCTTGAGAAATGAAATTTACACAGTTCTTTCCATATGTGCTGCTCATCAATAAGAAATTTCATATCATCACAAGCCTGAGCAGAGTTCATCAGATCTTTGTAGTCACTTAATCTAAGTAAAATTTCTCGCAAAATAGCTGCCGGCATGTCTGATAATCTGTATGAACCATCTTCAATAGGCTATAAAACAAATTTTATCTATATAAATTTGATATATACATCCACTTTATTAAATTTATATTAAGAGTTTTTACATTAATGGTACAGCTTATATAGCATATCATAATACAATAAAACAAAAAACTATAGCATATTATAATACAATAAAACAAAAAAGTATAGAATATCATAATACAATAAAACAAAAAAGTGATTTGGCACAAAAAATTTTAAACCTAAAAAAAATACATAACACATAAAACTAAACTCAGTGGCGCAACAGCCCTAATGGGCCATGGCCTGCAGTGCCACGAAATCTGCTTTCTTGACCTTGGGCCTGGAGTGCATCAGCATATATGCCATGGGGAAGTGGTCAGCTTGTCGCAAGACCCAGGTGTTTAGTGCCCAAGTGAACTTGGTACTCATTTATCAACCCAATCAAGAGATGAAAGGCTGAGTCAACCTTGATCAGCCTGGGGATCGAAACCTGGACCTGTGGTGCAGCTGCGCGATGCGCTAGCCACTATATAATGCATTAAACAATATAAAAACAAGACACAAACAATAAATAGTATAAGTCTCTTTGGCATATGACTGAAGCTGTTAAATTTTAAAGATTTTATGAGAGAAAAGAATTTATATTGTTTCTAGCAGTTGATTTGCTGACAAAAATAACATTATCATTCTTAATTTTGAGCATTCATTTAAAAACTGAGCAAAGTAATCTGAGCATTTCCAAGATTTTGCAAATGCCGCAAACTCTGGTTAGTTACATAATAAAATAAGAAGGTATTAATTGTCACAAAAATAACTGGGGTCGTTATTTCAAAGAAAATAAACACTGAGGATAAGAAAAATGAATATCTTACCATTATTTCAATTTATCAACTACATCTGTCATTAAATCTTTAGAAGACACAGCAGCTCATTCAATCAGATGTGCAAAGTTAGCTAAGATTTCAGGCTACACTGGTCATGATCAAAACTGTCATAAAAATTTTAATAATTTCTGCTAATGACACCTGAAATTTCAAATCCCATTAACCTTGAAATAATTTGAGATTCATAAACTCAAATCCTTGCACTTCTTTTATAATTCTAACCTTAAAAAGTGTTAGTCAAAAATAGATGTTTTAACTCAAAAAACTTTATTGACATCCAGCGGAAGAATTCATAAAAAAGAATGCAATTGTTCCAACTTCAGTAGTCCCAGATCCTTAAGTTGGATGTTAGTACGCTCTCTTAATTTTCTGGAAAGAATCAACCTGGTTTTGTGCTTAAGTTAAATTTTAAAATAATCTTATTCCATAAAATTAGGCAACCTTGTGCTTAGCACAGATTTTAGTCACGTTTGTGTTTGGCCAAGTTTGTTGCTCTGCCTAATTTTATGTCGGATGTTTTTCTTCTCTCTTAGCCCTCTCTCCTTCACATTTGATTTGATTTAGAAAGATTCTCGGGGGGGGGGGGGGGGGGTAAAGAACTATTAACCTTTTTTTTTTTTTTTTTTGCCAAAATATACTAAAAAGAATAAAGTTCAAGTTTCAAGAGCTCTAATTGTATGCTTTCTTTATTAAATTTCATTTACAACTTTTTAATAAAGTACATTTTTAAAAATTGTATTCTTAAATTTGTTTTTCATTAAATGCAGTTTGCTTTAATGAAAAACTTAATATTAAGTTTATCATTATTGTTTTTACAACATGAAGGATCTGACAAATTAAAAAAATTGAGAATCTTAAAGGATTCAGACTGAACAAAATTTAGGATAATTTATTTTCAGTAAAAGTACACATGCAAAACCTATTAAACCAGTCTTTTTAACTGCTTTACCAGTGAATGATGCTATTTTTATGATACTAGTCATATTCCACTATCTAAATATCACTAAATCTGACAAATAATACTATCTACATTTTCTACAAGCACATTCTTAAAATCAATGACAGTTATTTTTGTATACAGAATGTTTGAAATTAATAATGTACAAATTTTGAAATAGCTGGTATTTATTACTCCAGAATATACAGCAGTGGTCTCAAACCATGAAGCAGATTTATGCAGCACACAAATGCATTTTATTTATGCATTTACAGCAAATATGGTATTTCAGAGATTTTAATTATATGAAGTCTTAGTTTATATTACTTTCATTACTATTAAAAACGAATGCGAATAACACATCAGAAAATATATAAATGTACCAAATCAATTTACAGTGTGATGTAAATCTTATTCAGAGATTTGAAAATATAGATTTGATTAACTTACATTTATGCTTGACCAAAAAAAGTTCGTTGTACTTAGAATAAGCACTTTGTTTCGGGAATACATTTATAAGTGCACAGCTTCTTCTCACAGTACAAACTTAATTACAAATGTACCCGAGTGGCCAATGAACATGTATAATCTGATGAAATAATTTTCAGTAATTTTTCTTTAGTGCACTGTTATTATGAAAGCAAATTTTGTATTTACATAAAAACTTTATAATTATTTACAGCCAAAACAGCGATTTTCGGAAGGTAAATTTTCTCGCACATGAAACCTAAAGAAAAGTATATTTTGGCATTTTCAATTATTAGTAGTTCTAATTTTTAAAAGGCATTCACCATACCAATTGCCTAGGACACTGAAAATCTTAGAACTGAGCCTATTTCTAAATATTTGCTAAACATAACATATTGAGTGACCTGTATCCTAAAAGATACAGTTTCAATTTGCTTTGAAAAATACAGAATTTGCTTTAAATGATTTCTAATAACAATAGTCTTTCAGCTAACTATCTTTACAGACTGATTACATAACAAATGTATGTAAATTTATAGTTAGTAAATATAATAAATTCATTTGATTGTTCTCATTTAGATACTATATGCATGTTTGAAAATAATTTAATCATTAAAAAATATTATCCATCATACTTCACTATATAAATTTATCAAAGTAATATTTTGGCTGATTTTTTGACAGCTCAAAATATCTGCCCACTGTAATATATACAAACTATATTACACACAAAGAAAAAAAAAGTATTATATTACAGTACCTCTTTAATTTGTATATCACTTGCAAACTGACATATTCTGTCAATTGTCTTTAAATGCTGCTCCCACAGAAGTGTGCTCCCTAAAGGCCGACCCCAGCAATAATATTTTCTTATTATTCGCCGTAAGTCATTTAATAGCATGTGCAGTATATGTAGATTCTGCTGGTTACTGGCAACTGATAAAGAAATGCTTAATCAGTATGAAAGGAAAGAAGAATGCATAACACAATAATTTAAATATAATGTTTAATATGATGTGAAAAATATTTGCTAACTCTATACCTTGTCTTGCTACTTCTTCTAACACAGCAAATAGCACTTGAGTTGCACGTCCGCTTAAAGTAGTCAGATTTTGAGTGATCAATAAATGTAAAAGCTGTAAAGAAATGCATATATACCTCAGAAATTTATTAACAATAAATAAATAAAAATATTCTAATGCAGTATTCATTCAAATTTAAAAGTTCAAAGAGAATTCTTTTACCACACAATTAGAAATCAAATAATACTAGAATGACAATTATCATATGAATGGGGATTGAAAGAAAACTAATCATATAATGATCATTTAAAACTTTATGACCATCCTTTTAATAATAATACGTTGTGTAAACTTTGCATGCAAAACAGCAATAACCCATCATGGCATAATTTCTGTAAGTCTTTGGTAAGTATCCAGAGGAAGATTCTACCAGATTCACAAGCAGAGATCATACAATTCCTGTATATTACAAGGAGTTGATTGGTGATTTCTGAACGGTCCTCCGTAACATCCCAAATGCACTTAACGGGATTAATATCCAGTAAATTTGGAAGTCAGAACATCAACTAAAATTCCTCAACACACTTCTTAGACTTTGGTAGAATAATTTTAACTTGTGATCAACAGCACTAACCTGCTGGAAGAATCCATTTTGGATGTGAGAAAACATATGAAAGATATAACTAGCCAGTATTGATATTTACATTGTTGCCAGCTGTCAAAATGTGATCTATAACAATAACTAGTCCCTGGGAGGACACAAGAACATCTTTCAAAGCACCTTCAGCACTGGCTTGCTTAGATTCCGTTATACATATATCTATAACCAGTTCATCTGGTACTCTAACACAATCACTGATGAGACTCATCCAATTAGGCATAAACTTAAATGATGGCGAGTCAACTCAAATACACAGGAGAAACACCTGCACTGGAATTTCACATTCAACGGAGGCTGATGAACTGTATGCTCAAATATACATTTTTATTTTGATCTGCAATGTATTTAGCTGACAGCCGAGCCAGCAGCAACTACCTGTTTGCCTTCATCAAGCAGAATGGTTTCCTATATTCACATTCATTGATCAGGTGCAACATCTGATGCCCTCACAACTACCATTAGTTTTAGTATCCTTCTTCCATTCTTTCTAGGTGGTAAAAATGACAGCTTATAAATACTTGACAATCAGCGTTATTTGTAGATACTCATTTCTATCTTTTAGGCCATCACATAGTGGCCTTTATTAAAGGTTCTTAAATCAGGAGCACAAAGTTGACAAATGATGCCTCAATATCCTCAGCAATCTTTAAATAATATTACCTCCTTGCCTTATGTTATCTGTATTATTCTGTTGAGTGCATTCTCATAGTGTAGTGGTGGTCATAATATTTTTGACTGATCAAAGCACTGAAAGCCTTTATTAAAGCAAGTTAAATCACTGCCCTTTATATAAAAAAAAAAGGATTAAATATGAAGTAAAAAATGCTTTGGAGAGCTGCAATGAATATCACAACACTGGTTTTTTGTTCCGATGTTATCCTTATGTATTGTTATTGCTGTTTATGTATACAGGGTATTCCAGAACAGCAGTTACAAACTTTCAGGAAAGACAGAGTACATCTAGACATTGGAAAATCACATAGCAATGTATGGTAGGTGTAGAAACTGTATTGCACCAGATGGCGTTGTGTGCACTTGAATTCTTCGGACAAGTGCAGAACCTTGATGATTGCGAAAGATGTAACACCATCACGAAACATTAACCAAAGTTTATATGTGCTTCTCTTTGTTGTAAATGTATTCAATTGTGTCGTCAATAAAATATAGAGAAAATGATAAAAGTCGAGAATGCATCTGACAGGTAAGTGAGATTTCTTTATATATTGATTTGAATTGAGTTTTAGCGACAAAGAATGTATATGCGTATTTACAGTAGGAAACACTTTCCTATTGCAATAGTAATGAAAGAAAGGATATGAATAGGGTGAGAAAATATGTTGGGACGGCTTTGGTTGGTGTACAGGGTAGATGGCACTACATACACCAAAACATCAAATGCCATAGTATGTGTGTGATAGTTGCAGCTGCACTCACTGGAAAGTTTCATTTCCCCTGCTGACATAGTGGAAGTAAGTTGGTACATTACACAAAGGCAGAGCTCGCTGATATGCATCTGGCCACTGATTGTAATGGGTAAGGCACGTAGCCATTGTGCACCCAACATTACCCCATGAAGCAAACTCCCAGCCACACCTTTATTTCATACACAGAGGAAGTTGTCAGAAAGGGGATCCTTCAGCAAGGAGACATAACTAAATGAACAGAAAGTAACAATGCTAGCAGCAAGGAGACTGTGGGGGAAGATGGTACAGAATAATCCTGGTGCCAGTACGTGGGCTATCACGAGTCACGTTGGGGATTTCCCACAATAGCATGTGGCATATTGTGCATGACAACTCTATGCACCCGTATCACACCCAGTGCATGCAGTTACTGGACGAAGATGATTTTGCTCCATGACCTGGCCTTTGCACAGTGGTATTTATAGATGTGCACAACAGATTCCTCATTTTCCAGCCAACATTTTTTTCACCAATGAGACCTTCATGCAAGAGCCTGTGCAGCCAAGAGATGGTTTTTAGTTAATGTATGGGTTGGCATGTACTTGTGGCTACAATCTATGGATCAGGTGCAACCTATCTCCTCTTTCTTCAGCAAATCCTGCAACAGATACTGGATGGTGCACACATACACACTGTGGTGTGTTCTGCCACATGGTGTTTCAGCATGGTGGGGTCCCTCTTACATTACAGCCTTGATGTGCATATCCATCTGAATGGAACATATCCTCAATAGTGAATCAGAGAGGCAGAGGTTGTCCGGGGCAATGGCCAGCAAGATTACTAGACCTCGCATATGCATTGAGTACTTCTCTGTGGGTATGTCAAGATACTGAAATACGAAACCCCTGTTAACAGTGCTGAGGAACTTGTTGCACGCATCATGGTACCTTCTGGGCAAGCCTGGGACATAACTGGTATTTTCCAGAATATTAGATCTTCCACGCCAGAGATGCAAGGCTTCCATCACAGTTCATGGTCATAATTTCGAACACCTTCTTTGATGACGATTCTTATCTGTTTCAGTTCTTATTTCTTGGTTCCTGCTAAGAATAATACACATGTTTTCTCTCCCTGTTCATGTCTCTCCTTTCTTGTGTTTTATGTTGTCAAGACGCGGCAGAAAAGTGTTTTTGATCATGCATTGCTATGCGATTTTCCATCATTTAGGTGCACTCTATCTCTCCTGAAAGTTTGTAACTGCTGTGCTGAAAGACCCTGCATAAGTATGTAATAAACAAATTTAGCAACACTGATGGCGTAGAATATTGATCCACATTGAAAAGCAAACTTAGAAGCTATAAAGATTAAATATTCATCTTTATTTCAACTGAAATCTGCGGTCACAATACACTTGGCACTCTAATCATGCCTATTCAAGAACATTTATACTTTTTATGCTGCTGCAATAGAAAGAGAGCAGTGAGTCAGTGTCTTAGTGGAAACAGAGGTATAAGAAAAAGTGCATTGTTATTCCAGTATGGCAGCTTATTAAGAGAAAGTTTCAGTTTCAGTTCCAAATCAGCTACGTCATCAGCGTTATGAAAGCTTTATGGTAAGGACTGATCCAGAAATGACATAGTCCATAAAAAAAGTTTTACTATTTTTACAGGAAATACCCTTATTAAAAAAAGGAATTAAGTGGCTATTGCTAATTTAAATTACAATTTTATTTACACATTTTTTTTATCTTACACATACACACATATCAGATATGACTAAACTGCGGCTCGCGACTACTTGCGATGCTTTTCCATCCGAAATGCGACTTGTTTTGAATAAATATAGTTTATTTTATTAATACAAATGAAATCTGAACTAGGAATCATGCAGGCCACATTTCTTTGTTAATCGCTAATTTAATTTCTGATATTATGTATGTCAAAATTTGATAGATTTCAAACTGTTCACTGCTGGCTTATCGTCAGAACAACAAATACGTAAAATTTGAAATAATTCAATTTCTGGTAATTACTCTTCCAGTTATGTTACTTTTGAACAGGTAATGGTCACCGGAATATACTAATACGAAGTTAATCCAAAATGCAATGCTAATATGTTTTTTTTTTTATTATTCTCCCTAATATTTTTTTCCTCAAGTTAATTTTACTTCAGGCAGTATCTGCTTACATTCCATTGTTCACAACAATTGTGATCCACTTAGAAGATTTGCTATTCGTTGTGGGGTACTACTTTTATTCAGTTCTTGAATAGCGTGAGTAACTGCTGAAGAAACGCAGTGGCTAATTGCACCGACAGTGCGAATAGCTAACAGGCTATTCACACCACCTACGTTCGCGCATGCGCACAAGCAGCCCAGGTACCAGCATTTTACGCCGATTTCCATAAGGCAGGCGGTAGTGAGAGCGAAAGTTGTTAACCCTAACTCAGCAATAGGAAAGGGTTGTTAAGTTCTTAACCAGCAAGAGAATAATTTGCAAAGTAATAATTATCAGGTTACAAAGGCGAAGTCAATCTATATACATGATAATGTTCAGGAAATGATGAGATAAAATAGGGATTTAATGATGGTTCTAATAGCAAGGGAGGATGAGTGTAATTAGTTAAAAAATCTTTAACGTATTGACAAAAAGGCTACAGAAATTACTTAAATTATTCTTTTATTTAACAGAGGAAATTTTTATGCAAACTTAGACCCTATTCTTATAGCATAGGACTGTCAGAATTTATTATTCAATAAGAAAACTTACTGAAAATGATAATATTCTTATATATTCATCACTTTTTCAGTATCCACACAGATTTATAAGTTCAAATGCCATATTTCAAAATCAAAGTTATTTATGAAATAAAACCTTACAAAACCTGATAAATCATTTGTGTGTGCAAATTTTTAAATCTAAATCTCTTACATTAAATTATTTCTGTCTTTTAAATTACATCCCATTATTTATTTCAATTTAATTGATTAATGTGTTTGTACTAATATTTCAAAGTTCTTTGAAGCACTTTTTGTGTCCTGAAAATGCCAA